ATAATTGGCGTAAATAATATCCATTGCCGAGTTCGCCAAGTGTATACTGCTCACGTTGCAGGCCATAAACACATTGTGCCATAGCGACGACGCGTTTAGAACCATGGCGTGAAGCCGTAAACTCGACATATCGCTACGGAATAGGATTGCTAAGATCTTTCCCTTTACCTTTCATCTTTCTCTATTTTTCTATTTCTCTTCTGCTTCTCAATGGAATACGCAATTAGAGTAAAAGCACTATCCATTTCTATACTGGACACCTACCTACGATACCGAATTCCGTAGCTGAGAGCTTTTTCAATTTCTACTCTGCTCTTGGTCTTACCTTCCTCCGACGAATTGGAAATAAAAGTATAGAGAACGAGAAAGGAGAAACCGTGGAGTGATTGGACCCGAAGAATTCAGAGAATTTCCAAATACGATGCATTTTAGTCCCTACCCAACTCGGAGAACTTAACCATTAAAAATAGCGGCGGAATCTTGGCGCCGTTGAAAGCATCTCCCATTGTTCTATTTTCTTTTCTTAAAACTTCGCAAGACGCATCAAACAAAGGAACTAAATAATTTCTTTATTAATCTATTTATACGAATACGTAAGAAATCATGAAACAGGAAATATGTATTTCGCCTGGTTAAATGTTTATTTATTTCTGTCAACGAGACTGTATAACGAATGCGGTAACATTAGATGACGAGAGACATCAAAGATCAACGAGAATTGTAACGTAATGTAGAAAGGAATAATAAATTGCCTTGCCCCTCCCAGAGCTTTTGAGAACTAAATCTGACAAGGGTAGCTAGTACAGTAGTAAAAAGAAAAACGGTTCAGTGAAGGCTGCCTAGGAATCTTGGCGCCAGAAGTACGACTTGAATTGCTCGATTTTTCCAACATTCGAAGTCTGTATTATACAATGACTATAAACTATGAACTATGATTGTTATTTTAGAATATCTTTAAAGACCCCATTTTATTCTCCATTAGATTTTTATTTTTAATCTTTTTTTGGTGGATTACTATATTCATGATGAAATATCCTTAGATGCTCTATCTATCAACTCGGTAGTGACAAGTAATCAGTTTTATGATTGGAAATAAACGGACATTGAGTAATCTTATGGATCGCAATCTTCATAATTTATTGCGCTGCCAGAAATACATACATACATACATACATATGTATATGCGGTAAGAGTAGAGGTGATATGTGTGTACGTCGCGAAGAAATAAGAAGAAAATCTCTAACAGCTTCATTAAATTGCAGTTGAACTATTTCACAGATTAAGATTCATGACTTTTAACAAGTTATTCTAATGAGAGTGCCCCGAACCAGTTATGAGCATTCTAATTGTAAATTCTCGATATTGTAATCAGGATAGGTCTCGTATTGTGAACTCCAGAACAGCGATGTTGCAGACGTTTTATGGAGTAATTTGTGCGAATGACAACGTAACTGCGTGACTAGATGAGGTAGTTTAGCAACAAATCACCGCTGTTCAAGACTAATGGTGCAGATTACATGGATGACGTTTATTCTTATAAATCTAACTTCCTGTAATAATTCTGTCCCCGTTAAATACTGTCCTATCTCGTAATGTTCTATAATATTAATGCGAATAACTAAGTTTACCAGATACAGTCATGACAGAGTAAGTACTTTCCTGCACAGTGATACACATGTTTACAACTCGACATTATACACGGTTATCTGTTTCAAAGTAACACGTGTGCTTGCCCCTGGCGCGCATCTCTAATATCGTTCGCCATAATGGCGACGCTGCAAGAATGGTACAATCATGTGCGTATTTTGATATCTGGAAACCACTTCGATTTTTGTATTTTCCATTTTACAGACAAGTTATACGAAGCCATAATGTATATTTTATATCGATAGTCTCACATTCGGAGTAACGTTCATTGAAAATAAGTTTTGTGCAAAATAATCTTAAATTTGGAAGTACATGTGTCAATATGGGGTTGTAAGCAAGTAAATAGAGCGAAGAAGCCAAAATGCATCGCGTTCAATGAGATACAATAAATCACTCTCCTTTCGAGAGAAGTTTCCATTTGGCAAAGTTCAGGTTCGCCAAGCCAGCGGGAAGAATGAATACGACCGTTGATCGGACAGATATGGAGCGAACTAAACTTTTGTCCAATGCCAAACACGGTTTGTCGACCTCTCGCAAACATCTATGGAATACCAAACCGATTCGCAAACTTAAATTCAGATGTCTCTTTTTATTTCTGTATGAAATTATTGAGGTTCCCATTAAAAACATGTAGCTCGGAGAAAACATCAGATTTGGCAAGTATCCATACAGTCAATGCTTTCCATGCCAGGTATTTTAAATTTTATTATCGATTATATTATCATGTCAAAAGTCTCGATCTCGTAACTTAAAATATGTATCTATGTATGTATACGGTTTTCAAAAATAAGTCTCGTAAAAATGTGCGCATTAGTATAATGTTGGAAAAGAAGGAAACCGTGACGTTGATACGAGCTCGTGTAATGGACTCGTTTTCGCATCTCTAGCAAAAATAACCGGTGCGACATAAAATTGAGTAAACATCTGTAGACGTACAAAGTTGCATATGTCTAACGTCGAGATACGTTAGAATGTTTCATCGGTCGATTCGACGGTGCATATCATAGTGTCAGTAGCCGGACCGAGCGGAGCCGAGCGCACGTGGACCCGTTCCAAAGTAAAGCCGGTTGGCATTCATCACGTTTGGATTATTCGCTTGGGATTTTCGTCTCTCGCCTCGTCTCCTCGCTAAATTTATGTGCCGGCGATCATTACGCACTTCTGCCCGCTCTATCGGCTAATTCGTCCGCCTCGCTTTCCACGCTCTACCTATACTTATATTCGCGTTTGTCGTTATCCGCTGCGAAATCGTCGCCGCCGTCTATATAGGCGTCCGAGACCAGCTGCCACGAACGTTCCACGCTCTCTATCGTAATTACGTGAAACCGATGCTTAAGCGTGCCACTCTTACATGCTCATTAAATAATAGTGCTGATTACGACACCCTCTCTAATGATGCGTTCGTGATTTATATGAAGCCTATGGCTACATTCGACGACTAACTTGTATTCAATAAAATATCTCCAGAAATTGTTCTCACTTTATTGGCAATTTGACATACATTTAACCAGTGTTCACGTAAATGTATCTTTTTGCACAAAATGATTATTGCGATAAAATTAATAGAAATGAACAAAGAAATAAAATATTGAACTCACTATAAAAAATACATAAATACATTGACAATTAAATAGAAAATAGAAAAATACTTTGATTTTGTAATGATCTTTCTAAATATGTTCGTAATTTATATTGGTCGTTTTGTTTTCTAATGGTTCAGATTTATACTTTGATTTGTGTTTTTCTTACTTTCTCCGTTTTCCATTTAACCACAAAGGACGCAAGTTCTCAGTTGTAATGCATTTTATAGTGAATATCACACGTAATGTGAGGTACAAATAAATCGACATGATTTCATTCACTTCATATTATAATGCATTATTAATATCATAATTATATTAATACTGTTTATGAATATGTTTTAAAACCATATAACTGTAAAAGCATTATCATATAAATAAATCTCTAGAGTTTTTTATCTTCTAATTACATACGTACACTATAAGCCAGAATCCTTTTGTTATTTATGAACTGAATTCCGTTTAATGGAAAAATTTGTTCGACAAACCTAATGTTTTCCCCGATAAGAATCCTAAAAACTTTTAAACTTGATAGACAGAATTATCACTCACAAGAAATCATATGACAATATAAAAAGCAAAACTAAGCTGCGTTTTCTAGTTTTTGTGAATGGGTTGATAACGACGTAGAAAACAGGTATCCGTGGGCGGAAAAAAATCGAAATTCTAGCAAATCCACATAAAATATGAATAAATCGAGTAGATATAGCTATCTATAACGGTTGTCTCGCTGACCGTTCTTCCGCGTATGAAATGGATTCCGATCGATGGAAGACGGAAAATAGATCATCACGAACAGTGTTGGGTGCTAGACGAGCAACCTTGGAACAGGAAGCCGGGGACTGTAAAACGTCTTCGGTTACCATCGACCACAGATCTCTGTTGATTCCTTTGATATCTGGTATCTGATATTAGTTAACGCGTCAATCCAGCCAGATAAATAAATGTTAACGTAAAACAAGTCGTGGCACCAGTAACACGATCGTTAGAGCGACAGGAACAAAAGGAACGATGTCTTTCACGGAAGCACAAGACAAAACTATTTACACCTTGACTTTTCCTGAATTTCATATAACATTTAGGAAAACGTTTAAACAAATGTATCACTAATATCTCAGATAAACAATAATTGCAGTATAACTTTTACTTACAATTAGTTTCGTAAAAATATGTAAATCTGCTGAAATTCTTAGGAGCAATCAAAGGTAAAACCATAAAATTGATCATCGACAACCGAACTTAATGTGCGTAAATTATAACGTAATCTACCACATTGATCATCACGATTACATAATGTTTAGTAATATACTGGATTATGATGCTTAATTTATGGTTGGTTAAGTCGAAATGTCAGGAACTATTTGAAGTTTATAAACATACAGAAATATTTAAGAAGCTGTAGCTATAATCTCTTGCATAACGTTTACGTAAGAAGCACTTAAGTACTTAAATTCTCAGCTTCATTATAATATTATCCATCAATATTATATAACGATTATAATGTATTCAATCAAATACATATAATAACATGTATACATATACATATATGTATAAATATGTTACGTAATTAGACTGTCTCGCTCATCTGCATATTCGGACATTTAAAAAAAATTTCTTCAATACTCATTGATTACTGAGATGCAGTTCTTTCAGAACAAAATGCTTGATACGAAAACAAAACGTAAATTTGATATCAGTTCAGTGTACAGAAATTTCGCACGTGACGAGAGTTATTTCGATACCCCCAATGTTCAAATTCACGGTAAAAGAGAGATGGCTGTACGATTAACACCACCAGATGCAATACGTTTGTATTATATTAGCTCTTTGTATTATTTCGTATTGCTGATTCCATTATCTTACTAATTTGTTGTTTAACTTGTGTATCTACTTCAGGTACATTATACGCCATTCAATGTGTTACAAAAGATTTAAAACCCTCTCAGTCTTCTTATTGTATGAATACTCAAGAAATGTATAAATTAGGGAATTTTAGGAGTATAGTTCATGGGGCAAGAAAATCACCCACAGATTCGATACGTTGTAAATCGTCAGGCACAGGAGATCGAAACCAAAATCCGAAAGAGGTAATACACTTGGTATAAATAAATACGTATACAGTTTTTTTTAATAGCTTTTAATTACTTTTCTAAATATTTCTATTTTGTATTAAGCGAAATAATACATCAAGCGATAATGCATTGGTTCACAAAGTTCATCCAGGCGATCGCCCTATACGTAATAACGTTCAAGAACGAGCAAAATGTACCGAACTCGATGACATATTAGCAAAATGGAACGTTTACAAACCAAGAAAATAATATCCTTTAAGATAATATAAGGATATTGATACTCTTCAGATGCTAAATTCTCTATTGCCAGACATTGGCAAATTGGAAGACCAAATGTTATTTGCATTATATAAAATGATAACAAATGCAAAATATTATTATTTATATAGATCTCCTAATTAGAAAATATTAACAAATTCCCAGCAAGTATGTCAAGATAAGAGATCTATTAAAATATTCAAATAATTAATAATTGCATAAAAATAAAATTAATTTCGAA